AATAGTTGTTTCTGAATGTGGTAAAATTGATCCGGCAATATAATTAAGTTCACCAGCATATACAAGTTTTGGTCGCAATTTAGTAGAATCTGTCATAACTACAATTGGTCCATTCCAATTAATACTTGATACAATTTGTGAAAATTTTATAAAATTTTCTAATATTAAATCAGGATTAGTAATTGTTGTAGAATCTGTTCGACGAATTTATCTATTTTTAAAGTTTAATAATTACTAATTTGTATATTAATTATATAAAGTATCCAAACAAATAAATAATAATTACCGAATTCTTTGAATTGAAAGTCCAGCAAAAGCTTTTCTAAAAATTTCATATTCACGACTACTTTCAGATAGCAAACTAAAAAAATGTATTAAATGTTCAGAATATCGAAGTCCATTTAAGCTTTTATGCTGAAATTGTTTTTCTTTAATTTGTACCATTAGGGCCGCAAGTTCTGTAAAAGTATTATCTCCATTAAATGCTCCACTTAAACCAAACTGAGCTAATTTAATCCAAAATTCTGCATCATTTTTATTACTTGTAGAGGCCCAAATTTGTTTTAAATTTAGATTTTTAAGAAGTTTTAACAATGGTTCATTGTAATAATAATGAGATGTAAATTTAATAGTACTACTTGTTGCCTGTTTCTAAAAAATAAATATTTTAATTTTTAAAAATCTTATTTATAAAGTAACTTAAAATAAATATTAAAAACTTACGGCTTTGAGTGCTTGATTTAAACGTTTGTTAGATTTTAATTGCTCACAGTTATTACATATAGCACTCTTATTATTTGTTTTTTTTTCACATTGCATATGATATATTGCTAAAGCTTCTTTATCCAAACGCCAAGTTGCTTCAAATTCCAATGCTCTCTCAAATTCTCTCCGCTCTTTATTACTAAGTTTTTTTCTAGTAAAAGAAGCATTTTCTGAAAACTTTTCAGGAAAAAGTTCTTTTGCTACAATTTCAGGCTTTTTACCACCACCGAAACTAGCTGGACTATTTATAATATAATTAACATGTTCTAAGTCATTAAGACCTTGACACATAAAGATATATCGTTTACTATTTTTCTCATTATTTGGTTTATTATCATCATCATTATCTTTCTCTGATTCAATTTTTGAAAAAAAGACTTTTATACTTGGTTGATTATTTGTACAATATGTACAATTATTACTTTGAGAATGTCTTTGAAAATTAGAAACTTGATAGGCTTTACCAAGTGAAATAGTTATGCCACATTTACAAACAACTGTTTTAGCATCAATAAATTTTTGAAAATTGGGAAAAGAGGTAAATCGACTTTGACGTGAATCATAAGGAAAAGATATCGTTTTTTTTTTTTTTTTTTTTTTTTTTTAAGAGATTATCAAAAGAGATTTTATTTTTTTGCGTTAATTTGTACTAGCATTTTTAATGCTAATCCTAATTTAGAATAGCTTCTTTCCATAATGAAATTTCTCATACGTATAAAAAATCTTGACTGTAAAAACTTTTAAACATTTAAATATGTATTAAAAGTATAAATAGTATCGGTATATAATTAGAATAATAGTTAAAATATTATAAATACTAATTATAAAAAAATTACCGTGTAAGATTCTTTATAATTTGGAAGTAATTTAGATATTGCTTCTATAATTACACCAAAATTGTCTAAAGAATTTTTTATTTAAACACTATTCAAATATCTTTTTCTCACTCTTAGCTGTACTTATGCCAATTAATAGCACTATCCGTATTATTTACAACTATATTACTTACTCATTATTGTAATATATAGTGTATTATATGTGGATTGGTTATGTTATGTTATTTGTGTTCACAGTTATTCTGTTCTTAAGAATTACCACCTTTAGTGGATTTTATGAAAATAATAAAGATTACATGTAGAGTAGAGAAGTCTTATCAATAACGACAATAAGAATCGATCCAAATTTATAATTATTGCTTATAAATATAAATCTATTAATATAATTTGGTTGGATCCATATATGTCAGTATTAAATCACATGATAAATTAAAAAGGCTATAATAATGCGAATCAGATTGTGACTAGCACCTTTTTTAATTATCTATATATGCGAATCTATTTATAGGCGGTGACTCTTTTTTCTGCGAATCATACAAAGCCGAGGACTTTATAAAACTTTATAATAATTCGAATCTATGGTAGGTTAGTCACATTTTTTAAATTTATAGTAGTATGCGAATATTGTTGTGGCAGGGACCTATAATAAAGTTTTCC